GGCTATAATCATATAAATAAGAGCGCTTGACGGCCGCACACCCCGTCACAGCAGAGTGCAGTCCGCAGTCCGCAGTCCGAGCCAGCGTTGGAGTCCTCTCCCAGGGCACATTTCCAGCTGAATCAAATGTCCACAATTACTTAGCCAATGTGTATGACTCTCTCCCTCTCTCTCTCCCTCTAGCATTTCCTGCTCTACCTCTTGTGCTGTTTCTTCCGCTGTTGGCTCTTCGATGCTTTTGCATTTGGTATTAGCTTCAAGTGGCCGGAAGCTAGTTTATGTGGCCTACGTCCTCGGTCTGACTATGAAATACTCAACAGCAGTGGCAATGCCAGCGCATGCATGCACCGCAATAGACCGCCTCCTGCCTCTGCCTGGACAGAGCAACAATTGAATCGTAATGTTGCTGCTGCTGCTGCTGCTGAGCCCAGCGAGTGTGGCTGACGTTGCGTATACGCAATAGCTGTCATACTAAGCGCCACACATCGAAATGAAGTCGCTCGTATTTACGGCTCATTTTTCTGGTTCTTAGCGAACGGAATTTTAAATCACTCGAGCGCAATGCCAAATGCCTAATGCCATCTGCCAGCTGCCAGCTGCCAATTTCCAATTGCAATGCGGGTATCGACGGGTGGGAGACGACAGAGAACGAAGAACGGCGAAAGGGGGACGGAGCAAGGACGAGAGTCGAGCATCGACTATCGGCGACCCAGCAGGCTGTGGCAAGAGGCTTACGCAAAAGCCAACAGCTGACAGAGCAGACAACGGGCCGTAGCTGCTGCACTCATCAATGCAACAATGCCCTGAACCTGGGGATAAGCTGCTATTAGTGGCGTTCCAATGGGCAGAACGTAGGCCAGGTCACTCCCGCATACGTATTATACACAAAGTCTGACAAACAGAAATGGTATCTTGCCTATACTTGTATAATCAAGCTAAGCTTGAGACAATAATGAGTATGAGAAGGAGAATGTTGTATAGTATATATGAAATCTGAAGCTCAAAATCGGCCGGTATTCTCTCTCTCTATTTTTCTATATGATTTCTATACATATCGACTATGAAATGATGCAGAATTTCCAGTGACAGCTGAAGAGCTTAACTATTCATAATATCAAGGCATCAAATACGATCATCTTGCCGTCTAATCTCCCTCTCTCACTCTCTTTTTCTATGATATCAATATATATCGATATATACTGCATACTACTGATATAAATCGATTACAAAATAATGCAGTATTTCAAGTAAAATCTGAAGAACTTAAATATTCAATATTATCTAGGATTCAAATACGTTCTTCCTGCCGTCTACTCTCCCCCTCTCTCTCTCTCTCTCTCTCTTGTTCTTTCATAACAATATATATAGAATATAAAACGATGCAGTATTCCAAGTAAAACCTGAAGTCTAGCTTGCCTTAATTTGATATGATGTTTAATAATAGTCTAATAACAAGTCTGTCTCTCTCTCTCTTTCTCTCACTCCCTCTCCCAAACTAATTCCATCTCTTCTTTTATATAAATATTTATTGACTATAAAGCTATGTAGTATTAAAACTGATATATGAGTTAAATTCTTATACCTGTCACATACACGACTACAAGCTGGGCATGCCCAATTCCAGCTAATGGGTGCAGGGCAGATGCCCAAATATGGCTCGAGCATGTTAGCCAAAAGTAAGCGCATGCGGCTAAACTAGAGCTGAGTCAAGCAGAATCCGCTCGGTGCGTGGCCACAGCAGTCGTAGTCGAGTCGAGTCGAAGGATGGAGAGCAAAGACGTGGGCGGCACACACACACACACATACACACACCCACACACAGAGAAACACCTTTACCGTTACCAAAGTGACAATCTGATATTGTAGCATGCTTTTGTGGGCACAAACTCGCCATTAATACACTCGCCGCACACACACAAATACATGCTCTATTAGTGTGATTAAAGCCGTTTGCGTGTGTGTGTGTGGTTGTGTGTGTGTGTGAGAGAGAGAGAGAGAAAGTGTTTGCTGACATTGTCTACGTAACCTTCATGGGCTTTGCGTAAGCAAAAAGGGGCCGCCAGCTCGTTGAAAGTAGCTGCGGGCACACGTGCACATGTGTTTGTCTTTGTGTCTGCGTGTCTGTGTGTGTGTGTATGCTCTAAAAAAGTAAAGCCCATAAAATGTATAAACACAATTTTCACTCGACCCGAGCCTTTTGCCAGGCTCCTCTACCATTTCCACTTAAGCCTTAAGCTACTTGCCAACCTTTTGCCCGCTGTCGCACAACTATTTCCTTTTTGGCCTCTGCTGCCGCTGCTGCTGCTGCTGCTGCTGCTTCTTCGGCTTGTTTCCTTTTGAATTTTCTCGAGTGGCCACACTCCAGAGATTGCACATTCTATGCTCGCTATACTTATTTCGTTCATCTTATTTATTATATACATATTTTCTTTTTTAATTTTGCGACAAGGCCCAACGTCATTTGCATTCGCTGATTCTTTGTGTCCGTTCGAGCACCCCTACCCCCCGCTCGAGGGCAGCATTCGCAGTGGCAGCTGCGGGCCATTCGCTTTGTCAGCCAGAATTTGGTGCGTTGGCAGGCAACAGCAGTAGTAATAGCTAAGGCAACGGCAATAGCAACGGCCGCCACTGCTTTGCTTGTCCGCCTGCCCATGCGGCGTATGCGTAATATTCGTTTGGTGTTTATTAAAAGCTTAAGGCTCAATCAGCACTTTGCTTGGCGCACACCACACTCAACACTCACAACTCCGCCCCGTCGAACAAAAGCCATGTGTGCATTGCACCGCAACCCCAATACTCTCCATTGGTATTCTCGTTTATTTGCTCAGGATTGTCAGCTGGAGAGCTGCAAAAGAGTTAAGTTTTGATGGTAAGCAGCTTAAATATGATTTCGAATTCAATATTTCTCGCTCAAGAGTTGATTTGCGGTATGCTGGTCGAACATCAATCTGATTCCAGCTCAATTGTTATACTGTTTTACAAAGTGTGCACAGATTAGTTCTCACATATCTCATGAATGTCTGGCCAGCTGCATACTTAAGCACAAGCATTTCTAGTTTTTCATTTGCTTTCATACTACTCCACTGTTATACTTAAGCAATCGAGGACTAAAGCTCTTACTTTATGCTATACAAGCATTTAATGCTGTGCTGGTTTCAGCAACTGCTTAAAACCCTGCATGTTGTCTTCTTTAAGCCACTTATATTATTGTTATACAGAACTCATGGAAAATCGCTGTTGGTATACAAAGCTGGTATACACAACTGTTCTAACAAACTATTATACAAAAATGTTACAAAGTACTTTTATACAAAAAGTTTATACAAAATTAAACTGCTATAAAAGTGTTCTACAAAATTGTTATACAATATTGTGTTATATAAAATCAATCTGATATATGTACATAACTATTCTACAAAAGTGTTATACAAAAATTGTATTACAAAAATTGTTATACAAAAATGGTTATACAATAATTGTTATACAAAAATTGTTATACAAAATTGTTTTATCAAATTAATCTGCTACACTTAACTATTCTGCAATAATGTTATGCAAAACTGTTAAACAAATTGGTATACACAACTATTACTCAAGTGTTATATAAAAGGAATCTGCTATACAAAACCATTCTATAAAACTGTTATAAACAACTTTTTTACAAAACTGTTATACAAAATTTATATACAATTATATAAAATTAGTCTGCTATACAAAACTATTCTACAGCAGTGTTATACAAAACAGTTCCACAAAACTTCTATTAAATTATTATGCAACATTGTTGCACAAAGTGCTACACAAAACTGTTATATACAGCCATTCTATAACAGTATTCAACTGACAACTATTGTAGTCCACAGCAGCTCAATTAATAGACCCAAACAGCATGCGTTTGCCGTAGTGCCCAGTGAATGGATGTGTTGAGCGTACGTCTTTATAATATTAATAGGACGCTTCGCACTTGGCTATATCAGAATAACTGATGATTTATTTCGGTGGCTGTATGTGTGTGTGTGTGTGTTTACATTAATTTTGATTGCCAAAGCAATTGTCGCAATGGAGACCGCCCACTGAGTGCCAGGCATGTGGCATTGTGTTATTGGCAATTATCAGATATCAGGCGGGAATCTAAGCAATTGGCTTACATGCATTTGCCATTAGACTAAGGCAGTGAGGGGGGGATAGTATAAATTAAAACTATTGACAGTATTATTGCAGACTTTTGTGAGTAAATTGAAACAAGCTTCGGCTGTTGCCCATGTTGTCCCTTTAGCTTACATGGTCGCCGCTAAGTCCGTCTAATTGGCTGCCGCAAAAAAAAAAGCCGTAAGCTCTAAGCCAATTGGTCGCCACAAAAACTGCAAACTTTAAAAGCGAACGGCCGGAAGTTATAAGCCGCTCCCTGGATACCATCTGATTGACTGTCGTAGCTCTGTCGGACTGTGCGCCGACACATGGCGCTGTCCAGAGTCCCTCAAAGCAATGGGCATGAATGGAGATGGCTTCTTTGCATGTAGAGCCTGGCTTGGGGTATCAACTCATGTTCACTGGGCGTGGCTAAGTGCTCAGCTGCGGTATGTGGAATGTGCCAACAGCTGGCAGAGAGCCAACCGAGTTATTGAAACAACTTGTGTGGAAATGCAACAGTTGGGTCAACATTGGGTAAGAAAAGCATGTGCCAGGTAGCCGCAGCTGGCATTTCCAGAGAAGGAGAGGGAGATAGCAAACAGACAGTTCAGTACAGGTCAAGTAATTGTAATGCAAACAAACAGTTTGAATATTTATATTAAAGTCATGAGGTCTAAAAGGCAAGTCAGTCAGTGATTATTTTAGAGAATAAGCGCGATTCCTTATAATATAAAGTCAAAGAATATGCAGCAGCTACAACAAGAGATTCCCTGCACAAAGATTCGATTCCACTCTCGCAACAACACTTTCTATGCATCGATGTACTTTTGCATCGTTATCGGTTATCGGTTATCGATTTGTCGACTTACCCTCACTTTGCGCACCGTCTTGCGGCTATCGTTGCGTATGTTGACCGTGACATTGACGTCCTCGCCGTGCGTATACCAGCCCTTGTCCAGGCTGGCCCTCAAGCCCACGCGGCCATCGTGCAGCAGAAACGGTTTATCGACGGCGCCCTGGGGTCCGCCGCACGGTCCAACGCTGATGCCGCCAATGCCGCCGGTGACTCCGGCATTGCTATGGGGTGGCAGCATTTCGGAGCCAGTGTTGTCGCAGTGCTGCCAAGGAATCAATCAGACCGCGTTTACAATCGTCTGTGTGTCTGGTTAAGTTATGCATGATTAGTTTGCTAAGCACATCGGGAATCTGATTCGCCTGGGTCTGCGTGCGGTTAGCCATAAGTTCGGTTGGCGACTGCCTAATTACAATTCAACTGGTTAGCTATTAATTAATCGACTGCACAGTTAAGCCGTTTGGGGAGTGGGCTGGCCAATGGGCAAAGTGGGAGAGTAGAACGGATCTGTATTATTGAAGCGGCTGCCTTTCGATTAGCTCTGCACGCAAATTAATTGCGCGGCTCAAAGCAGTGCGCGCCATTTGAGCTCGCAAATAATAATTATAGCCAAATTAATTGACCTCTCCGCAAGCCGATTAGTGCACTTCTGGCGCCTTTGAAAATAAATTACTTTTCGCCAGCGAAATTACGATTCGCTCTGTGGCGCATTTGCATTTACATTTGCACCTGTTTGGCTAATCAATTGGCAGGTGCCACGTAGCGCACTCGGTTTATTGAAGTCATTAAGTCTGCGGTCAGCACTGCAAAGGCTTAGAGAACATAATTGCAAGCTCTGTTAATTATGTATTAAATAGGCATGAGCTGAGCAATCGTAGTACTTGCTCACGTCTCAATGAACGAAGCATTGGAGGGCAGGGTGTTTAACGTGCGACAGACCCCCAAGTGTTTAGAGTGGAATCTGTTTAAAGTGAATCGACAAATGAACTGTTTGATTTTATTCAAACGATTTAATAAAAGGAGGGGCAAACCTGAAATTCCATCAATGGATTCGGAAATCTGAATATTGATGAACCCAATTACGTGTATTAATTTATTTATGAAACCTATATGCCGTCGCCAAGCACAGAAGGTGCGTGGGTAATTCGATATGAAAGAGGGGTGATTGCCCTCCCTCCAATTATCGACAACCTTGCTACGCTCCTGCTTAGTATTTATAGCTCTCTCTCCTTGTGGGGTAGGTCAAAAGCATTTCGTCTGCAAAGCGTTGCCTTGATTTGACTTCGTTTAAAAGACTGTACAGGATTCTAAGACTTTAGTAGAGCTTATGCTTCGCAAAGACATGGCAGACTCAAAAGAAATGCTAATACCTTTGCTGGCCACTGGGCACTTTATAAGAAAATATGATTTGTTTTACTACAGGGTATAAAGGGTAATGCTGCTGATGTTCTGAGAATAAGTTAGTTAAAATATTAATTTGATTTACATATTCTTCTTAGAAATGTTGATTTTTAAGCCGGAAATCAATGCCGATGTTTATCATAGTATCTCAGTTATGTATTTTGATCAGTATTACGGTCATCTCACTTACCTCCTGGAAGGACTTGCTGTAGCAATGGAATGGGTCGTTGGGGCACCGTTCGATTTCGCTTTTGCTGCGGCCGAAGCGTCCGCTGAACCTGAACGCCTTGGGCGAGAGGCGCAGCTTGGGAAATGAATCACCGCGCTCCGACTTGGACTTGGCGCCCTTGGCACCAGCACCCGCACCCGCACCCGCAGCAGCACCCGCACCAGTACCGGTGCCGGTACCGGTACCTCCTCCTCCAGCGGCTCCTCCTCCTCCTCCTCCGCCTGCACTGCTGGTGCTGGGTGTTGGCTCGTGCCCATCGCTGTTACTCAATGGGGGCGTGGCGCTGGCGGGCGGCGATTGGGTCGATGCATTGGAGTTCTGGCCGGCAAAGGCAGCGAAGTTCTCCGGAGCGGTATGCTGGTGAAAGACGTCGGTGCGATAGATGACCCGCACGCCCATCTTGACGGAGGCCCGCCGATGGAACTTTTCGTCCGTCTTGTCCGCTGGAACAGAGAGCAGGAGTGGGGAACGGGACCGTAGGGTCAAATTAGCTGGATGATGCACACAGCACGAGAGCGCGAGAGACAGAGTGATAGAGCTGCTCTCATTGCTCGCTAAGCTCACAAGAAGCGCAGCTGCAATCGGTTATCTTTAATCGTTAATCGTTAATCGTTAATCGATAATCGGTAATTGTGAATTTGAGTGGAATTTTATGGTTGTCTCGTCGTCCGTCTCGGTCCAAAAGCGAATCAAATACCAAATGGGGGTTGAATGCGCGTCTCGCCAATGCAGCCAACGCTGCCAATGCTAGCTGTGAGCTTCTGATGCAGGCGGTTGGCCGCTCCGAACCTTTTTCTTATGTTGCAACTGTCAAGCACTAGTTGGACGTGCTGTGGAGGCCAGCTGAGTCAGCCTAGCCTAACAGCACGCTGAGGCCCGAAAGTGTCGTCGAAAAACAGAGTGCTGCCTATTTTGGAGCCATCGAGTGCTGCCAAATGCAATTTAGCCATCAATTTTGACAATACCATCAATTGACTGAGGTAATCTGACATGAACTTTGACAGGAACATAAGAAAATGGGACTCAAGCGGCATACAACAAACATTTACAGTTTAGCACAATGAATTGGGATAGATGAAGTAAGACAGTGAAAGCGATACATAAATAGATAGAGATAGAGATAGAGATAGAGATAGAGATAGAGATAGAGATAGAGATA